GACCCCCACCCCTGCTACTCTGTCCCTCGAAGTGTTTGGTTGTGTTCAGGAAACTTCTTAGCTTTTGGTTTCGTCCAATTATGTTGACTTCCCCTGTATTGTGTGTTGAGCAGCTGTAGCTCTTAACCACTGTGCCACCAGGGCTCCAAAGTGAGCACGCGTACGTGCAAATTTTAGTTGACCCCATCAGGTGACCACTTATCCTTTCTGCCCTTGTTTTTTTGGCCCACTTCTATCCCTCAGCATTATTTTCATTTCAGAATTCCTATACTCAGCCTTATCACGGTCTATATTACATCATTTTTCTTTTCCCTTCCTCTTTTTTTTCACTGTAAGGTCCCTGGATGGCTCAAACAGTTTGCGCTCAACTATTAACTTAAAGGTTAATGGTTTGAACCCACCCAACAGCTCCATGGGAGAAAGCCCTGGTGGTCAGCTTTCTAAGGATTACAGTCAAGAAAACCCTATGGTTTTAGAACTATGGAGCAGTTCTACTCTGTAACACTTGGGGTCGCCATAGAATCAACTCGGTGGCAATGGATTTTTTTGTTTTGTTTTCACCCTAGTCTCCTTTGGAGTTCTGTTGGCATAGTGGTTAAGAGCTTGGCTGCTAACCAAAAAGTTGGCAGTTCGAATCCACCAGCTGCTCCTTGGAAACCCTATGGGGCAGTTCTACTCTGTTCTATAGGGTCGTTATGGGTCAGAACTGACTCGACGGCACGTAACAACAGCAAGTCTCCTTTACTCTTTGTCCTTGTGGATTAACAAAATTCAGCAGATGCTCTGCTTTTTCCATAGCTTCTATGAACTCTCTTCTGTTAATTCCATAATACCAGCAATCACTCCCTATTGAACCCTTCTGGTGTCTTTCAATCCTATCTTCCCCTTGCAATGGGCCCCAGGCCCCTAGTGAAATTTCTAGCTCACCCTATGGCATCTCTTTCACTTGTTCTTTGTTCTTTCTGTAACACAAAATAAACAAGCCTTTAATAATAATCATAATAGTAACTATACTTTTTTCTTTAATTTTTTATGTATTTTTTATTGTACTTTAGATGAAGGTTTACAGAGCAAACTAGCTTTTCATTAAACACTATACATACTGTTTTGTGACATTGGTTGCCAACCCCATAACATGTCAGTACTCTCCCCTTCTCAACCTTAGGTTCCCGTTACCAGCTTTCCTGTCCCCTCCTGCCTTCTCGTCCTTGCCCCTGGGCTGGTGTGCCCTTTAGTCTCATTTTGTTTTATGGGCCTGTCTAATCTTTGGTTGAAGGGTGAACCTCAGGAGTGACTTCATTACTGAGTTAAAAGGGTGTCTGAGGGCCATACTCTCAGGGTTTCTCCAGTCTCTGTCAGACCAGTAAGTCTGGTCTTTTTTTTTTTGATAAGTATAGTAACTATACTTTTTGATTTCTGTTTTAGATTTTAAAAATTTGTCAAATGAAATGTTCCCCTTTAATCATGTTTTATCCTTTAGACTTAATAATTGAGATTTGTTCCAACAGGCAACCTTCCATTGTGGTCCCAACTGAAAATTTTTGGTAAGGGAAAAACTAAAATATATTCTGATGCCAGATTTTTTAGACTTTACAACTTTACTTTGAAGCTTTATAGTAAAACTGTAGTAGCTCTTTAAAAAAAATTACAAAACAAAAAAGTCCAACCAAATGCCTGCTGTCTCTTCAGATGCTAATTTTAGCTGATCTTGTGTTGGGCTTGGCTAAGAGCTACAAGTAGTTCCAACCACCTGGCAAGAAAATTCATGGTAGCATGGGCAGAGCCATCGACTGCCTCTGCAGCAACCATTTCAGTGGGAACAGCTAGATAGCGGGTATCCTGGAATTTGAGGCTTGAGGAAGTATATGCTGAATTTTCCCATAATTTAAAAATCCTATAAAAGGTCAATTATCATACAT